CCGCAGCTCGACCGCACACAAACTGATGCTTCACATCAGGGATTATTGCATCAGTGGGCAGGGGATAAATTGGGCGCTAAAAGCTCTAATAGTGCCAGTTGCCAATCCTCTGGTGATTTGAACTAAGCTCATTCATTGCAGTATTTACACTCTGGTTTCAGCACTGTTTGGCAATGACTGCAGTCTGAAATGAGGCAACTTATTTTATCAATGAGGATGCCATTAACCTACAAATCCAATTGTTGTTATCCCTCTCTCACTATGTGACCATTTGGCCAGCGGAGGCTTGCCAGCAAATGCAGGCTAAATGTCTGCTTCCAAAAATCGATTCATGTCTACAGAAACAATAAATAGAAAAATCCAGGCGATACAATTCTTAAAAGGTTACCAATGCCTTTTTATACTTTTGTTAACTTTATTTTGGCACAAGGCAGGATGTGCTTCAGTGCCATTTGAAGACATTATTCTTAAATTTGACAAAAGGGTCACAAGTGTCCCTAACCTTAAAGCTTGCTGTTCATTGTCTATAGGCCTGCAACCAATTATTATTTTCAATACTGATTAATTTGATACATTCATATAGATTAATATAGATACATTATTGTGGCAGCTCTTATGTCATGCACATGCCAAAGAAGTAAAACCTTTACACACACTTGGCTTTTTATTCGTTATTAGATATGTTAAAGGTAAACGTTTACAATTTTAAATTCATATAATATTCATTATTTTAAATTCTACCTGTGAGTGTCAGGAAACCCTTACCTCAACTACCTTTAACCTGCTCATTCAAATAAGTGACTGAGCTATAATGTCAAACTCAGGGGTTGTTTTTGTGTAAGTGTAAATATATAAAAGGTATTCACTTTCAATTTGAAATGATGGTTTAAGGTAGGCATGATCACATCCACAAGCTTTTTTTTTTCCGTTAACCTTTTCTTCATAAAGCATGACTCATTGTTTCTGCAGGCCACCCTTGGAGGCTGGATGACGTGTCGCTGTGTCGGTGTAAATGATATAAGCCGGTGCTGTTGCTAGCCTTCACTTCACAGATGCTGCAGGAGCCCGAGAGCTTTTTATCTAGAGACTGTAGACCCCGAAGAACAACTCCCCAGAGACACGTCTTAATGTGTTTTGGGCCTCCTGAGAAGCAGCAGCTATCCTCTGTGTGTGTGTGTGTGTGTGTGTGTGTGTGTGTGTGTGTGTGTGTGTGTGTGTGTAATTCTCTTTTCAACAGACTTGTGTTGGTGGAGGAAATCATTAATTTAAGAGTTACTCGGCAAGTGCTTCTATTTGTGCCACTTTTAAGTTTTCTGCTGTCAGTGCCCTCTATTAAAAAGAGACAGTTGGTGTTACTCACACTAAAATAATGGAAGCTGCAGGAGATATCCCAAAGAAACCGTTTCCAGTTATTTGGTTGGAGCATTTACATTATTATACAAGAAAAAACCAGTTCAAGTGATACACTCTCGTTTAGCGTCCTGATCAGAACTAATAATCTTCCACATGGGTTGTGGACGGTTAATAGACAGTTTCGTTGTACGGACAAGATATCTTTCTTCTCAAAAGAATAAATACATGCCTACTTTTCTATTATTATCATGTTTAAAGACTATTTTCGTTCACTGCAGCCTCCTGCTAGACGTAGTGAAACAGTCAAGTAAAAAGGAGATCAAATATCGAACAGTTTCATCATTTTATTCCCTGCAGAGGAAACATGTACATGCCCATCTATTAGCGAGCGCAAGTACTTTAAATAAAAAGGTAGTCATGCCGCTCACGCTCTCCTGACTTTTGGCTTGTGTTGTGCAACCATGTGAATATTTCTCAGACAACGAAGAGCACACAGAGCAATCCACAGGGAGAAGCTACCCAATGGCAAAGTGCTAAACTGCAACAGCTTTCTTAAGACTCTGACGAGCAACAAGCAACCAAACTCAATAGTTTGACTGCAGGGAATAAAAACACAGAAATGTGCTTCCTCTTTGATGATAATCAAAAATGACTGGTTTCTTTCCTTTTAATGCCTCGTTTTATTTATGTGTCATTATGCTAACTTTCAGTATCCAAACCTACATTGCCAACTTAAATGACACATTAATAAAGTGTTATTACAAAGTGTTAAGTGTAAAAAGTCGGTATTGAATGCTTTGAAGATTCTTCGATTGTTTGCTTTCCATCATCGAAATGTCCTGATCTACATTGGGATGTTTTTTTGAGCAATAAACTAAACTCTATAACATTGTCTTTGAAAATATGAATTTCTGATTGCTGGCAGGTGTCCAGTACAATGATATATGAGAAGAACAACAATCATACTGAACATGAATGTTTCAGGCTGTGAAATCAGGTACGCTAAACTATGTGTTGTATAACCATAGCTAGAGCATCAAAGCTAATCCCTCATTCTACGTTGACACTTAACTACCTGGGAAATGAATCCTAATACGTGTTCAACTGAATACAAAAGGTGTACAACTGACTTATATAAATACAGACAATTCACGATGCTACCAGGTTTTGTGTCAATCAGCGTTTCCGCCAGGGGGGCGTCTTGACGTCATTTGACGCCCTTATTCAGCTCGGGACGCCCTGAACTCGAGCCGAGGGCGTCCAAAAAATATTAATAATTTGAGAGAAGATCGAGAGTTTTTATCACTTGAAATGACGAAAAGGAAACAGGACAAGGACATCCCTCTGTTGGAGGGGCAAAGGAGTCTGGTGGGATTATTTTTGAGTATTGAAGATCGTTGCCCCGACATCGAAGGTGCCTGCTAAAGGACAACACGGAACGTGCGCGATTTGGACGCGATGAGTGGGGGGGTTTTAGTGGAGCACGCGCTTGAGCTGCGAGTGCCGGAGCCTCGCAGCGGCGATACTGAGGCTCCGTGGTAAACTGTGGTAACATTGGGAGCCGTTTGGGAGCCGTTTGGGAGCCGAAACAGCCGGCGCTTTAAGAGAGCCGAGCCAAATGATCCGACTTACTTAACTTAAAAAGACAGTATCTATAAAGGACGGCTCAAGTCAAAAATTCAAAACACCCCCCGCTCTCGGTGACGCCCTGTCAAAGCCCTGGCGTGGCGGAAAACACGAGAGTGTAGAAATTTCATCTCCGGCTGTCAGGTTATGAACAATCAATAAATAAAAAACAGGAGAATTTTAAATATAAAACACAGAATTTGTGTGATTATACTAAAAGATGATTTATCAAATAAGACACCACTGCATATTACACTGTTACACATGCTGAGTGGTATACGGCAAATGTTCCACTGTTTGGGATCAATAAAGTATAATCACACAAATTCTGTGTCTTCTATATTTAATAATTCTCTGTTTTTTTTTATTGATTGTTAGATACGCTGACAAGGCCGGAGAGATGAAAATTTCTACATCAGTGTTTCCGGCCAGCACCAGGCTGACAGGGCGTCCACCTCCGAGAGCGGGGGGGTTTGAATTTGACTTGAGCCCGTCCTTATTAGATACTGTCCTTTTACGTTAGTAAGTTGGGATCATTTTGGCTCGCTCTCTTAAA